ATTTGATGAGAAGTGAACCCAGCAATTGCTACTTCCCAGCTGACAAGTTTGCTTGACTAACCTTGAGGCAAGTACAAGGGCTGGGAAAGGAGGACAGGTATGGTACCTGTGATGCAGAAGTGGTTCAAGCAACTTGCCAATTCTGTGGCCAGATGTAGCTTAGAGTGTGGAAAAATATGTCGACCTGACGTGTCCTTTAGGTGGAACTCAAACACCACAGCAAATCCTAATGAATGTCTAATTCTGGTTGATGACGTTCTTCCCCTCTGAATTTCCCCCAGAGTTTCACTTGCAGGGAGAATACATTCGTGTCCTATGATTTGTGCAGTGGGACTGTGTGTCGTCAGGCAGCCGCTGTGCTTTCTCTCAGAGATACCTCACCCTACTTGTGGATGAAGAATTCTGCTTGCAGAAGCAGTGGAATGCTCCATGATCTTTGGACCAAAGGTATTATTTAAATAATTGGTGTTTCTTAATTGCTATCAAAAGAGGAGTTTCTAGATGTCAGGGCAAAGTTATCCCAGAATCATAGTGAAAGTTATGGTTCTCCTGGAGATCTCGGATATAATAAAAGGATGTTACTTAGAGAGGGGATAATGGGAAAGAATGAAAAATCCATTCAGAAATGAAAAATTAGGGGGAGAGAGAGTTGTATTTTTTCATATAATAACAATATAATTGAACAATAGGCCCAGAATTTTTAAATGTAACTTGGTGTAAAAGATTGTTCTAAAAGAATGAGCAATAGGAAAAGTTTTGCAATCGTTTAAAACAGTGACACTTTCTAACTGGAGAAGCACATAGGAAACACAAGTTGCCTGAATAATGGTATGTTTTTAAAATGTGTCCCCTGATGGATAGTTATATGGTTGTATGGCACAGTATTTGGGTGAAGGGCATCACAGAATTCTCTGAACTTGCCACGTTAAGAGAATTTTCTTAAATTGTGACTTCCTCTGATAACACTTGTTCAATCAACCTGTGTTTACATGGGAGAAGGCTGGTAAATGCATTTTTAGGATAATTTAATTTAGTAGCTGCTAGGATAGCTTTCAGTTCAGGAGTGGAAAGTCTTAGTCAGAGATGTTCTGCCGCCAGGAGGCTCACAGCACTGCTTGTGGAACTACTCAGTGTTGCAAGTGGGTGGAAATTTCAGAAAAATTCCCACATTAGAGAAGTCAAAAGAATGATTTACTACTTTAGTCTTTAGTTTTGTTTTGAGTTCAACAAGAAACGTGGGGCAGGAGCCTTCTCATAGAGTATGTGTACCGAATGTAAGAAAATAAGCTAATTACATCTGAGACCATGCAAGAAAGGAACATTTGGGAAAGAACTGAGGGGCAGTGAAGGAACTTAGGAGTCAAAGAGCACAAATGTGAGTGTCTTTCAAAAGTTAATGACTACATCCAAAACTGAAAACAGCAAAAAAGAGAGCAAATGAAAACCCAGACAAGCGTATTGGTAAAGCTCTTGTTTATTCCAAGACCTTTATGCTTCAGTGTGCCTTTTGGGGTTTTACATGCTGGTTTTCACATGCTGGATTGGGAGGAACAGGAGACAGAAAGCATAAGCCAATCTCAAACTAAGTCACACCGAGCTTTCTGGCAGTTGCCCTCAAAAGTAAAGGGAGTGAAGTCGCTGTTTTTCCCAAACACCGATTTTAGAGTTCTGTGTCATCCGGAAGCACCGTAACATGCAAACCTCGTGAAGTTGAACAAAGCAAAGTGCAAGGTCCTACACTTGGCTTGCGGCAATCCCAGACACAACAGGTTGAGCGGAGAAGTGATTGAGAGCAGCTCTGCAGAAAAGGACTTGGGGGTGATGCTTGATGAAAAACTTGATGTGACCAGCAATGTGCGCTCGCAGCACAGAAAGGCACATGTACCTGGGGCTGCATCAAAAGGAACGTGGCCAGCAGGTCGAGGGAGGTGATTGGCCCCCTCTACTCTGCTCTTGAGAGACCCCACCTGGAGTATTGCACAAAATTCTGGTGCCCCCAACATAAAAAGGACATTGAACTGTTGGAGCAAGTCCAAAGCAGGGCCAGGAAGTTGATAAGAACATCTACCTTATGAAGACAGGCTGAGAAAGTTGGGGCTGTTCAGCTTAGAGAAGAGAAGGCTGCATGGAGACCAAATAGCAAACTTCCAGTATCTGAAGGGGGCTACAGGGAAGCTGGAGAGCGGATCTTCATCAGGAACTCTGGTGATAGGACAAGGAGTAGTGGGTACAAGTTGAAAGAGGGAAATTTAGGTTGGATATTAGGAAGAAATTCTTTACTGTGAGAGTAGTGAGACACTGAAACAGATTGTCCAGGGAGGTTGTGGATTCCCCATCCCTGGCAGTGTTCAAGGACAGGTTGGATATAGCCTTGAGCAACCTGGTCTAGTGAGAGTTGTCCCTGCCCATGGCAGGGGAGCTTGGGACTAGGTGATCTTTAACGTCCCTTCCAAACCTTAACATTCTATGGTTCTGTGAATCTATGATTCAGGACAGGAATCCCCCTGTACTGAGACAAGTGGGAACTTGTTTCATGAGTTTTCTCAGACTTGTTTGGGCCAAACCGATCCAGTTGTGAATCAGGCCTGTAAAGTGCATGTATTCATGTGGTTTCTTCTCCTTTCAGTGATTGGACTGAAAAGATAGTAAATAAAGGGTTTGAGTGTGACTACTGGCTTCATACTGACAGAATTTCAATTAATATACTTCTCCATTGTTCATCTCTGATGTCCACACATGATTTGTAATTGTGAGTCATAAAGACATCTCCAGGAATGGCTGACAAAGCTTCAAAAGGCAAGAAAGACACAACACATAGTGCTAGCCTTATTTAGCAAGGGAAAATGTGTACCTCCCCATGGACTGACCTCATATTATTCTGAATGTCAGAGATAATTCTAAAGCCATAGGTCTTCAAACCACTCTCATCTCATCTCATCAATTATCACTGGCACCATGAAAAAGTGCCGCTTCCACAGATGGATGCACTCAGCCTCTGACCAGGAAAACTGCACATCCATACACAGACCACAATGCTCTGAAGTGGAGCAGTGTGCTCATGCACTGGGCCATGGCCACAAAGAGGACAGTTTGGTCTGCACCATTTACCAGCAGCAGGCCATATCCTGAAGCTAAGTCTATCTTTCCTCTCTTACCTAGCCCCCATTGCTAATCAATTCTAGGACACAAGAAGACTTTCAATGGCCTGCAGATATAAGAGAGAATTGAGCACAGAATTTGTACTGAATATGCCAAAGAAATGTAAGAAGCCAACTGTGTAATTCCCCTTCCTTCAGCCTTCCTGAACACTGGCTCCAAGGATCTGCATTTGGTTGTTAAAGACATTTTGTAAAAAAGGGGAAGAAAAGCTGCATGCAGCACTGAAGTTGTAGCGTCTCGATTAATGATTCAGCTTCTCTCTATAAAGCAGCTCATGTGAGAGAAGCAGCTTGTAACACACTCAGTGACAAGCAATTCCCTCTGCAGGGAATGTGGGTGTAACCCATCTGCAGACTCATGGGATCCTTCTTGATGCAAGCATCGCCAGCAACATGCCTTCTCCTGGAAGATGGCAGCCAGGAAACCATGTAGGATCTTTGAGACTTCTGTCCTCACAGCTCCAAATATAACCCCTCAAAAAAGGCAAGCAAGTGTTATCTGGTATTCTTGCCTGGGTTTTGTCTCTCTCTCACTCCTGTTTTCAGTTCCGGTTTTGGTCTTTGCTCCTGTGAGACAGTCATTGCAAAACATGCCCAGCTATAGCAGTACATTCTCTCCACTTATGTCTCCAGTTGCTAAATTGTTTTAACTTCTCCTCTTACATATCTGCATTGGACAAAAAAAAAAAAATAGGGCTATCCTTTATTTTTTTCTTGACTGAAAGCAAAAATTCTTATTTATTTGCTGAGAAATAGTTTCTGTAGTTTTCAGTGGCTTGGCACATGCCTTTTTATTTAGGCAGTCAGTTGTGTGGTTTAATTCAGTGGAGCCCAGCCTGGGAAGAAAACCCCTTGATAACAGTTCACCATGTAGTAGGGCAGCCAGAGCAGAAAGAGGATGACCCCTGTCTACAGCAATGGATTCTGCATGAGCTCTCCCTCCCTTTCCTCCTCTTCTGCTACGACAGCTGGATCACAGAAAAAACTATCTATATCCTCTGAGACGGTTGGACTTCTTTTTCCCTTTTCCTAACAAAAGGCAGGATGAACCTGGAAAAATTATTGGCAGTTCTGTACGTTACAGTACACACACAAAAAATATGTCAGTGGACTGAATGGAATTCTGTATTAAATAGAAGAAGAGACCAGAGACCCAGGGTAAAGACCCAAATGTACCAGCCTAAAATAAAACATGACGAAAAATGGGGAACCATCAGGAAACTGACAGCAGACAGCAATCTCACTGTTTTTAAGTAGTATGTCAGCTGGAGAGTTTTCACATCTGCTCCAGCAAAACAGGATTCTTTGGAGCTGTTTAAAGGAGGAGAGTGAAGGATCTTGGCAAGGATAGTGTGGAGGCTTCTCCCAGATATATGGAAAATGCACACAAAAAATACAAAGGTGCTGCTAAAATGCAAACTAGCAAGCACAGACCAGTCAGATGAAGGTGCTGTTCTCTGACCAGTGCATGGGAATGACATTTGGCTGTTTACCAGGATTTACCATGAACCGAAGCACCCAGAGAAGTGTTTGCTTATGAGACAAATCACAGGATTTTTTTCTTTTTTTCTAAAAAGATACCCCTTTTTCTTTACCACAAACTATGTGCTGTTTAGCCTCAACTTTTAAAATCATACAGGATTTCTCTCCATTACTTTTACTGTTGTGAAGGATAGGTTCCTGAAGGTCACACACTTCATCACTTCTGGTAGCTGACATCATCACGCCATCTCCCCCACCTCCTCCTTCTGTGTCACCCTCTCCTCCCCCTCTACTTTCAATTCCCCCATCTTCTTCCCACACTACCAGGTCAAGCATGCTCCCCATTCCTCTTTCCCCTGCTTCAGGCGTTCTGAGTACTTGTCTTGCCCATTGCACCCTGTGGACTCTGTGTTCCTCCCATGGCATACACAGTCTGCAGTAATCTTGCATCACATCAGCTTCTCTGTAAACCAGAGATCTGTCATGCCATGCTTGATGTTGTTGCTGAAGGCTGGGAAACACACAGAAGTCCTTGCACCAGTCTACGGAAAAAGGTGAGAGTCACTTTCTCAATACTCTCTCTCTCTTGCTAAAACTTTTTGGTTTACCATTTCTTTGGGAGTACTGGAGTGTTTTCATCCTCTAACATATTTCTTTCCTCCTTCTTACAGTGTCATGGAGGTCTGCATATTCTTCCTTTGTGCTATGATATCTGTCCCAGGTAAAAGGCACATTTTTAATCGTTAAAACTGTTTTGATTTTGTGTGTCCTGCTATGGGATACTTTCTCATCCACTAAGAAACTCATTCCTTAGTAACAATTAATCATTTCCATTGCACAATCAAGGTCATATAGCCTATGTGTTGTATTTAAATTGTGTGCAGGTACTCTATAAAATATATATACTAAGTACTTTCTCTCTTCAACTTTATATCTTTATATTACACTTATTTTATGTTGCTCTTAAATTTTCAATTTAAATCTGTCTTTAAAATGTGTGTATATCACCTGTGTGTATTATAGAGAAGAGCAGTATTAAACTGGAAACTGACAGTTTGATATGGGACAACTGGAGTTTTAGGCATCTGCAGAGATCATTTTGCAGTCTGGTGCTCTAGAAGAACAGTCAAAACTTTGCAGCAGGAGAGATACTGTAAATCTTCTCCACTTTTTGAACACAGCAGAGATGTTTACATCTTCTGAGACAGAGGACTGCATTTCTTATTCCAAGAAAAGACAGTCCTCAGAGCCCTTTGCCACCCGTAAAAATGGATACGTGCATGGATGAAAGTGGGAGAAAACTCATCCTTTGTATAATATGGTTCATCCTTTTTTTGCAGGAAGGCATAATTTTGTTTATTGACCATTTTTGTTAACAAGATCAGCAACAGAACAGTTAAATCTGACATTTAATCTGTCATTAAACTCTAGATTAATTACAGAGCAGTAAAATCTGACATTTAATTTGTCATTAAACTTTAGATTAATTCTTCATTGAGACTGAAAGTATTCACCTGTTTCTGACCTTCTGGTCATACATTCCCTAGACACTCACATTTACCAAACAGTGTGTACTTCACATTTTCTTCAAAACTCCAATGCCGTGTTGTTTTATTAGGAGAATGAACTCAACTTTTTAAAAAGGAGTAGTGCAGCTGTCTCTTCTGGGGCAGAATTTCATTTCACTCAGAATGCTATGAACAAGAATGGTTTGGACCTTAGGCCTGCAGATAGGTCTTCTAATGCTCACAATCTCTGTGTGGTAAACCTTCCTGGGAAAGTAAAATATAGGAAGAAAAATAAGAAACAGTTTTATGACCTGAACTCCATAAGACTAAGAGTGTCGGTTTGAACCACTATGTGTCTTGTCATACCTAGTGGGAGAATTTGTGTCAAAATGCTGGTGTTTTTATTGCCACTGCTATTAAGTGTTGCCTCTGTGAGCCCAGCTTGGTGTTCTTTTGTAGCTGGTGGAAATCTCAATTTTTCTCTCTCTCTGTCTAAGGTATTGCTGCCAGTGTGCATCAGGTGAAGGCATTTCTCAATCACACTGCATACCTATCCTGCTATTTTCCAAACTCTCAGAAAATTGACATGAGGGACTTAATAGTTTTTTGGCAAAAAGGCTCTCATAGAGTGGTGCACGAAGTATACTACGGTGAAGAAAAACGTGAGCACCTTAGTCCTGAGTATATAAATCGCACCAAGGTGGATATGGACAAATGGACCTTGCAATTGTTAAATGCAGGAGTTAAGGATGAGGGACACTATGAGTGTATCGTACAGCACAAAAAGGAAGGACCGCCAAAGGTCATACACACATCTGAGTGCTCACTGCACATCATTGGTAAGTAATCTCTTCCAATTGCCATCTGCTCGGAGGGTTTTGGGGGGATTCTCTGTGACTTTATTCAGTCCAGAAATATGGGTCCTGCCTCCAAGCCACTGAAAATGTACCTGCACAGGAGCAGAATTTCTAAAGATGGATAAGAGCATTCTCAATAGGAAATCCTTATCTGTGAACGAAAAGTACTCAAGTAGAAGTAATCAGAAGAAGTAGAAAATGAGGCGATAATTTGCTCAATATTACATGATCCCTGATTTCCACCCTGTCATATTTTACAGTGAAAACCATTCTGCCTTCTTCCTCTTGCCTCCTGCAAGTTTTATGACTTTAAGGACTCTGGAAAATAAACTTTCTTTGCATCTGATGCACTACCTTCTATTAAAAGTAGCAGTAGTTATCATCGTTGGTGGTACATTAGAATTGAAACATAGCAAGATCTCTGCAAACACCCAGCTATTTTATGATCATATAAATCACAGGGAAAATAAAGAAAAGAACAGCTCGCATGGAGGAGTAGAAATTCATATGTGCAGTTAAAGGAAAACTGAAAATATCTCTGAAGAAAAAAATGCATGCATTAATGAGATTCAACCTGATTTTTTGCACCAGAGAATTTTTTGTAATAAGAGGAAAAGGCAGTAAATCTTTTAACAGGGAAATGGAAATGAGGCACCAATCTTTTCCTAATATTTTCTAATATTTTTAATAATTCCTAATGTATAGTCCTACTGTTTTTCTATTTTAAACTATTCTGTTAGTAACCTTTAACAATATGCCCGTGTTCTGTCTTCCACTGTGATAGTGCTAGCCACTAATAATAGCAGCTTCTAACTTCCACTGGTGTTTTCAGGCTTCAGCATACTAATCTAGAAGAGAACAGGCCATGTGTAACTGCAGCTAGAAATGGAGTACCAGGATATCTGAGCCTGTTTAGCTTTGTGTTACCAGCAAGTGTTCCCTCCATCCACAAATAGAAAACCTAGATTGTTCATTTTGATTCTCCCAGGATCTACTTGACAAGCATTTTCAGTGAAGTTTTAGAACTCAGAAACTCATAATGTGCACTCAGTATCAAGGCCTCCAATTTAAGAGATGCTTAGCATCAATTGCTCAGTTAGTTCAAACAGTTAAGTTAGTTATCAGCTTAGCCAACATCTGAGCAACATGTTACAGATATCTCATATTTAAGCACTAAGACTCTCCTACACCTCGTAAGGTTTATCTCAGAAAGACTGTTTGAACTATGTGCTGTTGGGTTCCTTCCAAATGGCTCTCTGTTCAATAAATTCCTAAACAAAGAAGCAGTATAAAACCATATTTTTAAAAAAACCCCTTCAAAATAATTAGAAGAAAAATACAAATATTGAAGGGAAAATACAAATGTCGAAATGTACCTGTGCTTACATGCTGATTTTTAATTAGAATCTCATATCATACGTGGAGGGCTTTTTGTAGTTTGGCATGTCACACTTAAAATGGACTTCAGAAAGATTGTGTGCTGTACAAGAATGATAGGGCAGTCACACAAAGCTATCTAGATCACTTGATAACCAAGCCTATTCAGAAATACTGAAGTAGCTTCTAATACAGTTTACACTGGTTATTTTTATGTATTACATTAGTACCACATACAGATAGCATTAAGCTGAGTCAGAGGAGGTTTAGTTGGATATTAGGAGGTTTTTCATCTAGAGGGTGGTTGGGCACTGGAACAGGATCCCCAGGGAAGTGGTTACACCACCAAGCCTGCCAGAGTTCAAAAAGTGTTGGGACAATGCTCCCAGGCACAAGATGTGATTCTTGGGGTGCAAGGCAAGGAGCTGGACTTTGATGATCCTTGGGGGTCCCTTCCAACTCAGGAGATTCTATGATGACAGCCAGGATGACATATAATAACAATGAACTCAGATCCTTCTCTAGAAAAAAAGGGAAGGTTTCACAATGGAAAACTTTGGCTCTTAAAACATGCAAGGTAGAGCCCATGGTGACAAGCTGCTTAACTGCAAAATCTGCTGCAATAGCATGTCTGCAGTGCATCTTCTGGATGAATCAATAAGGGAAGTAGGTGAGGCTAAGGAAGCTGTTCAAAATATGCACTACTCAAAGTGCTGGAAATTAAGCTGATGTCAGAAAAGAGACACAGTTTGTGACCTCATCTGAAAAGGGATGTTGAAAAACTGTAAAGTATGAAGAAAAGCTCTACCAAAATTATCTGAAGGCTGGAAAAAATACAGTCCAACTAGACATGTTAAAATAACAATCTGATTACCTTATAACACAGAATAATGAGAAGACTCTTGTTTCCAGAGTGTGGGAACCTGAAATATACATAAAATACTGGATATTAAAAAATTTTAAAAGGGTTAATTAATTCAGTGATAGTCAGTGTCTGGAAGCAAGTGAGAAGTAAGGCACATTGTCACTTGAGAAAATAGGACAAAACCAAGTAGGATGATTAAACCATTGAGAAAAATAGTAAGGGCTTGATGAATCTGCTGTCTCTTAAAGTACTGAATCTAACCCCATAGCCTTTTTGGAAGATGCTATCTTTAACTATGAAAGATGTTCTGAAATGTGCTTTTCTGTTAACAACAAAAAACTCACATATATGTAGTCCACACCCTGCATGCAACCAACATCACTTTTCAGTAAATTGAGGTTCCAGAAGCTATAAAACAGAAATGCAGAGTATATTCCACTATTTCCACTTGCTTACTGTCAATAAGATTGAAACCCTTAAATCACTTGGATGATGTGACAAGTCTCACAGCCATGGATTACAATCCTGCCATCTCTATAAAATATCAAGGAGAGAATAAATTCTCCAGACCAGAAGTCTGACAGCAGTCAGCTAAGTAAGTCAGACCTTGAGGAGAAAGAGAAAGCTTGAGCTTTCCTGAGGGACAACTTAACTAAATTTTGGGGTATAAAAAGGGGGAGCTTTTTCAATTTTGATTTCATATCCGTGGAGTCTCTTGGGGGGATTTAAGTGACTAAACTAAATCCTATTCCCTGTGTGCTAGGATAGAGCAAATAAAAGCAACATCATGTTTCTTCATTCATCCATATTAAGAATACAGTAGGGCAAGGATTAAATCCTGGATCCAACACACTGAATGTCTGTTGAGAAGAGTGAGTCCCTCTTAGGCACATATTTTTCTAAGGATCCTTTTCCCCTTCTTCAATATTTCTCCATATTTTCTTTAGTCCTATTGGCACTAAAATAATGAAGCATTTTCAGTGAAGTCTTGAGTCTGTTTCTTGGGGTTTGTTGCTGATTTTTGAGAAGGGGCTGTTGTTTGGTTTAAGTTGCTGTATACCAACATGTAGTCAGTATTATGGCTACCTTCTCTCCTTCTCCTTTCCCATCAGAGTCTACTATTTTTAATATGACCTTTTAACCAGAAAAATCCTGGTTGAGAATATTTAGATTATTTAAGAGAAAGTAGTGGTTAAAATCTTCTAGTTTTTCACTTGTATTTTATGTTTAAATGTTTCTTCCCAATTCTGTTTCACTATTTCTTGCCTGGGAAACTTGACTTTTTAAAGCAACAGGTGTGTTATTCACTGACTGCAATGAGTACCAAGTGACACAAAGTAAAAAAACCTTATGCTATGGTCTTTTCTACCTAAAAAGCTAAGCTAAGGGAAGCCTACTACCAAGCTCTGATGAGTGAATTACTTTATATGCTGCAAAATGTTTGCTCACAATACTGACAGACACCAAGGATATTTCTGCTCATGACAGCCCTACACCTCCAATTTACCCCATCTGAATTCTCTCAGATGATCTCTTTCTCTACATTTCACAGTTACAAGTTTGTGGTTTTCCCCTTACCCATTCAGGAGGTCAAAAGTAGGCAGCATTGTGTCCCCTTCCCATTTGTTGCTTAAGCCCTTACCCATAAGCAGACCAGGTTTGATTATTCTAAGGTGTCAATGTGTCTAAAGGAAGTGGGAGAGACAGAGGCCCACTGTCTTGCTGATCAGACTTACATCCTTGAAACACCCTGAGGACAAGAAGCAACAAGTCTACATATACACCAAAAAAAACCCCAACAACAACAACAACAAAAAAACAACCATAAAAAAAAACCCCTTCTTGGAACACTCATTGTCTCCCTGAAGAAAATTCTTTAGAGTGGTTTCTGCCTGAAAATCTTAAATAATTCACAGGAACTGTCAGAAATGTGGTATATCTGGCTCATGATGCTTTCTCTTTGGTCTGTTTCAGCCAACTATAGTCAACCTGAGATAGCACAACTGCACACTGGGGAACTAAAGCCCAATGGATACTTGAATCTTTCCTGTTCGTCCATTGGAGGTTATCCAGAGCCCAAGGAGATGACTTGGCTAATTTCATATGAAAACACAACATACAAGCATATGCCTCACATGGACATCTCACAGGATGCTGTAACAAAGCTGTACAATGTTACTAGCAAACTGAATATCCCAGTTCCTACAAACAGCCTCACTAATATTAGCTGCTTGCTTCACCTCAGAGAGCAGCTGGGAATCCTTGTCTCAGCGCCACTACACATTGGTGAGTCTCCATTTGCCCATTCCATTTTTGCATGGGTAGGAACAGGGTGTATTGCAGTAGAGCTGATCACAAATAGCAGCATAGTCAGGGCAGGGAACAAACCCTAACTCGTAGTAGCAGTTTGTTACAAGGGTTGTATGTTCTCCACCTGTTTGCCACTGAACTCCCTCTCTTTTCCACATGGGAAATCTTATTACAGCAAGGAGAGGGCACAGAGAAGGAAGGCTACTGTTACACAATCCAGAACACATCATCCCTATTCATCTCTTCCCTAGAAGATGCTGTAGTAGCAACAAAGCAACATGGATGTCGGGATTAGGCAGCAACCTCCAGAGCTGATAGCTTTTGAGAGAGGTTGACACTTCACAGACTCAGAGAACTGTTGAGGTTGGAAGAGGCATCTGGAAATGATCTAGTTCAACCACTCTGCTCAAAGTAGGGTCAATAGTTAGCACAGGGCCTTATCCAGTTGAATTTTAAATACCTCCCAGGATAAAGACTCCACAACCTCTCTCAGCAAGTGTTCCAGATTTTGACTACCCTGACAGTAAAAAAGGGGTTTTTTTCTTCTGGTTTAAAGTGCTTGAGCTGCTATTCTTAATCATTCCTTAGAGAAAGGCAGAAGGCAAAACAGAAGAGCCCCTTGGACCATATTTGGTTCACAAACTGCCAAATAGACTGTGCTGAGTTTAAGTGTAAAGGCCATGAAACTTGGACTAGTATTAGAAGCATTCCTGGTGGTTTTCATAACATTTGGCAGAATGAAGTGCACATTCCAAAATGACTATTTGGGGATTTTTGTTCTCTGAGATTGTGTCTTTTTTGAGACACCTCTTGCAAGAAGAAGCTGGGGACCTGAGTTTCAATATGACTTTACTGTTGGATTGTCTCAGGGTTCCACATGACTGATCCTTTATTTAAATTAAAGCAGTATTTTATTTATTTTCTGGAACAGGAAGACATCTTTGGGCATACTTTTGTTTGTAAACTATGGCACAAGCACATCAAAATAAAGACAATTCCCACTTTGGTCATAAGTTTGTTTGTCTTGCACATGTCTCTTTAAGAGAATGCTGAAGATGAAGAGCTGTGCTTCAACTGACAGGAACAGGGAACCAAGAGGGAATGGTAGCATTGCAGGAAAGCCTGCCAGGGTAGTACAGACATGCACTTTCCTTCTGCAAATGTAAAAGAACCTTGCCACTTTTTCTGAAAAATTTCTACAGTGCAGTTTCCTTAGTATAAATTTAGCTAAAGAGTTAAGTTATCAATGGCAAACTGCCTCTAGTGTCTTTAAATTCTAGGACTTTTAAATAATATCAAAATACAATCTAGAAGTCTTCTAAGGTTTGTTTAGCTCTACACATTCCTTGTGAATGTTGACATGGCTATATTAGCTATATTGGCAATAATGCTGCATCCTCCTCTTCTCAATTATTCCCTCCTCCCTGGCTTTATGAAAGTAGTCACCTGATAACCAGAGATGGTAAGAAACCAGAAACTCCACATAAACATAAGTTTTGTTTGGCAATAACTGAACCTCTATCAGCTGCTAACCCGACCAACCAAAACCTTAAAAACACAAAAAACAGAAATAGAGGGAAAGTCCTTTGCATTCCCTGCTACTTTCACATCCCTTCCAGCATTTCATTAGGCTTTGACCATTATTTGCAACAGATACCAAGTAGCAACATATCCGAGGTTCTTTGAACTTGCACAGTAGCATTAGCACAGTAGCTGCCTCCTAGGCTCTTGTATTAAGTTGCCAATCCCTCACATGTTACCCAAACCTCAGAAAGAGTGCTTTGCCTTCCTGTTGCTGAAGTGATGATTAAGACCTGGTAGTTTCTCTAGGTTTTGGAAATGGAAATAAAACAATATGGATAGCGATTTATTGACACTATTAAAGCACTGTAAAAGCAAAGGATGCTGAGGGCCTTTACCTAAACTTCTAAGTCACTTAACTTTGGAATAGAGTGTTTAAGCTAATGTCACCAAATTAAATCTTTCCTGTATGAATCTTCTATGTTTTCTTATTCAGAGATACAGGAGAAAGAAGTGGAACAAGTAAATATAAATTTCTTTGGCCCGCTTATAGCTGTGGTTGTACTGGTCGCACTTCTTCTGGGTTTTGTGATATTGAAGAAGAACAGAAATATCTTGTCTACCAACCAGAGTAAGTTATTACATGTCATTCTGCTCTACCATCCCTCAAGTCATAGGTTTTACCCTTTGTAATCATCCCTTTACCTTCTTTACAGGTAAAGAGAGAAAGTTAGGTTTCATGTTGGACTTAAGCTAAACTTCCTAGGACAATTAGAATCATAGAATCATAGAATAGATTGGGTTGGAAAAGACTTCCAAGATCACCAAGTCCAACCCCTGATCCAACTCCAATTACTATATCATGGCACTAAGGGCCACGTCCAATCTCTTTTTAAAAACCTCCGGGGATGGTGAATCCACCACCTCTCTGGGTAGGCCGTTCCAATGCCTGATAACCCTCTCTGTAAAGAATTTCTTCCTAACATCTAACCTAAACCTCCCCTGGCAGAGCTTGAGCCCATGTCCCCTTGTCCTATTGTTGGTTGCCTGGGAGAAGAGACCAACCCCCACCTGGCTATAACCTCCCTTCAGGTAGTTGAAGAGAGTGATGAGGTCGCCTCTAAGCCTTCTCTTCTCCAGACTGAACAACCCCAGCTCCCTCAGCCTCTCCTCACAGGACTTGTGCTCAAGTCCCTTCACCAGCCTCGTTGCTCTTCTCTGGACCCACTCCAGCACCTCAATGTCCCTCCTGAACTGAGGGGCCCAGAGCTGAACACAATACTCAAGGTGTGGCCTCACCAATGCAGAGTACAGGGGAAGGATCACTTCCCTGCTCCTGCTGGCCACACTGTTCTTGATGCAGGCCAGGATGCCATTGGCCTTCTTGACCACCTGGGCACACTGCTGGCTCATGTTCAGCCTCCTGTCGATCAGCACCCCCAGGTCCCTTTCCGCCTGGCTGCTCTCCAGCCACTCTGTCCCCAGCCTGTAGCGCTGCATGGGGTTGTTGTGGCCAAAGTGCAGGACCCGGCACTTGGCCTTGTTGAACTTCATTCCATTGGAGTCAGCCCATCTCTCCAGTCTATCCAGATCCCTCTGCAGAGCCCTCCTGCCTTCCGGCAGGTCGACACTCCCTCCCAACTTGGTGTCATCTGCAAATTTGCTGATGATGGACTCAATCCCCTCATCTAAATTATTGATAAAGATGTTAAAAAGGACTGGGCCCAGCACTGACCCCTGGGGAACACCACTTTAATTTAATTCCTGTAGGACAATTTAATTCCTACAACATCCTGCACCAAGTCAAAACATCTTTCTCCTGTCTTGTCCTGGGATCTACTTCTCCCTCTTCTTCATGTTCTGTGAGGCTGCCATGGCACCAGCTTACCACCTTTCCCTGTATTTTCAACCTTTTTTTTACTGGATTTTGAGTAGATTTGGCTCCTAAAAATCATTGAACTGTATAAATCTTTCTTGTCCATCACTACTTATAAGAAATGTGGAACTGGGGAAGGGATGAACTTACATGAAGTGCAAGGATCTCCATCATCACAGAGCTGAATGATCACCACAAGCTGGCCACGCACTGGACTGGAAGAATCATCTTGTTCTAGGAACAGAATTTGATCTTTGCATTGCATTTCTCTGTTTTCTTCCAAGACTAATACTCAGCAGTCCAGGGTTTGTTTGGCACTGAAAGGATCCTCATGCTGACATCAGAGTCTATTCTTCTTTGTAGCAAAAGGGAAATGCATTCCTCAGTCAGTCCTGTTTCCTATACAGCCAAGGGCCCTGATGCCCACCTCATTCCTTTTTCCAAATTCTAAGCTAACTGAACATTTACTATTAACTCTTTTTCAGCTCCTATTTATCACATTTCTGTAAATCACATATTCATCTATTTTAGGTATCAGTCTAGCAGTCTAGAAGCTATCCAGCTTGAAACTGAGGCCATCAGCCAGACTACTGACAGAGAACTGCCTCAGCACACAGCAGGACCTGAGGTCCTATGTTTTTAGAGTCTCTGCCAGAACGAGAATCCTCCACAGATGCCCTACAGAACAACATGCAACATTTTGTCTAATAGCTGAAACCTACTGTCCAGTGTTCTCTGTTTTTATTTTTGCTCCAGGATGGTAGTATATATGATGCTCTGCCTCTCTGCATGACTACATTTTTTGATGTATCTTTTATTGCGCTCTTTGAAAATGTAAAATCCTGACGGTGAATGAAGAAAGCAAAGCTGCATGGGTTATGGAATGTCTCAGAAAGAGAAAGAGTTGGGCCACAATCTGTGAATCATAACCATTGCTGCAAACAGGCAGGCTATTAGTCACAGAATCATAGAATGGCTTGTGTTGGAACGGACCTTAAAGATCATCTAGTTCCACTCCCCTGCCTAATCATGAGGCACAAATGCTTTTGGCAGAGCCAGTGTGGCTCTGTGTACCAGTAACTTTCTTGTAAAGCTTCACACCAGTAAGAGGAACTTCAGGGCACTTCCCCACCTTCTGAGAAAAGTCGTGCAATTCCTATCAAGCATTTGAAACTAGAAATAATCTGAAGGCAATACCTGCTTTAAACATAATTTCTGATTATCCTAATTTTTCTTAATATCATCCAAGCTGTATGTGCCCAGAGAGTTAGCACTTCCATGCTTTGTTCTTCTGTATTCTGACCGAATGCCGTAGTAGTTGTTCAGGTGGATGCAGGGATAGAAAATGAAAGCATGAGGTATCATTCATACATGTGTATATCTAAACATACAAAATTAAGCTGAGCAGAAAATGAAAAAATATTACATGAGTAGGTCATGTTCCACTTTGGTTGACTATGTTATCCCCTTGTTAATTTTGCTTCAAAATTGAAGATAGAGCAATCTATACACTGTGGTAAGTTCAGCCATAGGAGATAGTTTTACCTTTCAGAAGATTCTTTTTCACTCAAAATGTGCTGGCTCTCCAATCTTGAATGACCTCTGCACCTTATATTCTTCAACAGCACTGATATCTTTCAGGAGCAAGAACACAGCAGAACTGAGACAAAATTTTTCTGAGGTCTTGATTGTGTTTGTAGGTCTGGCATTTTCAGAAAGAGCAGGGACAAAAGCATCATATTCTCAAGACAAATTTCAGCTCAGAATTGCAATTTGGGGACATAAATTCTCTACAGTTTCTTGTGCATGCAAATATTCTTTTCTGTTAAATGATATTGTGAGTTGCTAGATTCCACCTCAATTTTTACTCTTTTTTCAAGTGTGTCAGAGAAATTCATATTCTTTTGAGTTACCTAAACTATTTGGGAGTCAGTTTATTAAGCTATTACACTAATATTCCAAATATTTTCATTCAGATTCATATCATTCAAATGTTATTAAAAGTTAAAGGTTTTATTTTTATGTAAAAGTTTATACTTGCTAGCAAACTTATTTAATGATTTATTAAAACATATGTCTTTTTCTCTGTTGCTGTTTTTATTCTCCTGCCATTAAAGCAGTATATTGGGGAATACTGACATTTGGTGTTTTCAGGGAGGAAACATTTCCAGAATTAGTTCTTGAAAAGAAATGAATAAAATAAGTATTGATGAAATGACCAAGAATGGCACAACTGGAGGTTTTCATATGTTCATCCGTGGAGCCGCCTCTATGTGCACAGATCTGTGTATACATACCTCTTTGATCTACTAACCTATATACCTCAAAGATTAGATACAAATCTGCAGTCTGAAAATTTTTGATTCTATGTTGGAGGTTGTCAGATATATCTCCAGTGGGTCACATAATCTTCTCTAACTCTTGATGCCATTTGGTTCCTTAATTAGTGCATGCATTAAACAGTCAGGTATACTAAATCAGATAGACACTCACTAGATTTGTGTTGTCTCTCCTGCTTTTTTTGACACATGCTGTAATTCAGTTCATTTTTTTTCAACATTTTCCTTTCCCACTCAAGTCATCCACCTCAAATCCTCACTAACACTGAGGTTGTCAGAACAATAGTCAAACCTTACTTTGTTCCTACCCAAACAACGAGCCCTGTGGGTCTTTTGTCTTCCATATGACTACATTCACACATGTACACATACGTTGTTGTACTCACAGTCTTGGAACTCTCCTGCTGCTCCCCAAATTCTGATATGCTGCTTGTCTGATCAGCCTTATGCACTGAGGGGAAAAAAACATCACCAACCTTTCATGTTTTTCTATAGGAGAAAAACAATAATCAGTTCCTCCACAATGGATAAGGGATCTGGATTCCATTTTAGGACTCAAGAGTCCTATAGCACATTCACTTAGCAGAAAAAAATAATTCCAAGCACTTGGCAATTCAACAGTTTTTGCAACATGCCTTAGTACCTCTGAGGGTGCTTTTCACTCTGATACAGTATTTGCTGTCACTATCTGTAGCTGCAGCTAGTGGAAAAAGTGACATGGCGAGTTAGGTTTATCCTTTGACAATTCCCTTCCATCATTAATTTGTTCCTAATTGGTGAAGTTGTTTGTTTTCCTCCTTGCCATCCATCTACTTTAGGCTGCCAACCTTCTTCTATTACCTGCTTAATTTCTCTACCTCCTCTTATTCTTGCTCTTAAAATCAACTCTAATTCCCTCCTGCAGTTAAAGACATTTAAGGGGAAAAAAGCAGATGGGCTTCAGGGAAAAATCTTAGTTTGTCTCTTTCTGTTCAAATGCATTAATCCTCTGCACTAGCAGGTGTAATGAGCACAGTAGCAAGGCACAGGAAAAGCATGGCTGATGTGCTGGTATTTTTGTCCTCTATACATTCAGATTTCTGGGCTCTCTCCTTACACACTTCACTTTTTTCTTTGGCAGCGTACTTTCAGTCATTCAGTGACTCTATAAATATGGCAAGCAAATGAATAAGCATAAGCCCCTATGTACCACAGCATGTAACAACTTCACTTAAAAACACCATTCCTTTATTTTCAGGTGGAACATTATGAATTGCAGAAAATACTAACAAAGAAATGGCAAAGGTGTCTTAAACTAGTATCCAATGCCCTAAAGTAAAATCCTGTCATCTGACTTAGAGTTGTGATAGATTGCTTCCGGTTCACTGATTAACCAGCAGTGAATCACCAAATAACTGAGACTGGAATGGACATAGGGAGATTGTCCAACTCAACCCCGCTGCTCAAGCAGGGTCACCTGCAGCAAATTGCCCAGGTCCATGTCCAGACAGCTTCTGAATATCTCCAAGGAGGGAGACTATACAACATGTCTGGGTAAATTGGTGCAGAGCTCAGTCACCCTTCACAGTAAATGAGGGTTTCCTGCTGTTCAGAGAGAAACTCCTGGGTTTCAGTTTGTGCTTATTGCCTTTGGGGCTGTTATTGGGCACCACTGAGAGCCTGGTTCGGTCTCTTTTGCACCCTCCCTTCAGGCACTTACACACACCGATGAGATCTCTCCAAGGCTTCTCTTCTCCAGGCTGAACAGTCCCGGGGTACTCAGCCTTTGCTCAGATGAGAGATGCTCCACTCCTTTAATCATCTTTGTGGTCCTTCACTGAACTCTCTCCACTGTCCATGTCTCTTGCCTACTAGGAAGCCCAAAACTAGGCCCAGGACTCCAGGTGGTGCCTCACCAGTGATCACCTCCCTCAGCCTGCTGGCAATACTCTCCCTGACGCAGCCCAGATACTGTTGGCTGCCTTTGCCACGAGGGCGCACTGCTGCCTCATCTTCAACTTGTCCACTAGGCCACTCCTGTCCTTTTCTGCAGAGCTGTTTTCCAGATGGCTTGCCCCAGCCTGTACCTGTGAATGGCATTCTTATTCCTAAGGTGCAGGACTTTGAATTTCCTTTTTTTTTTGAGGTCCCTCCCTGCCCATTTCTCCAGCCTCTTGAGATTCCTCTGGATGGCCATATGACTGTCTGGTGTGCCACTCCTCCAAGTTTTCATCATCTTAAAAGTTGCTGAGTGTACACTTGCTCCCAGCATCCAGGTCATTAGTGAAGAGGAAAATCAGTTAGTTTTACTGTAAATTCCTTAATGTCACCAGTGCTACTGCTATGGTTAACAGGTGACGGAACAGTGGAGTGTTGCATTTCCAGAATATTCCACAGCCACTTCTGAGAAGATTGTCATTAACAAAGTATTTCATGGCAAATATCCCTTAGTGGATTTTTTTACCCTTTCATGTGAATTATTTGCTACTGGAGGTTACATTTAACCACAGAAATATGGTAACTCTATTAAAAAAATCTAGTTCTTGTGTGTATTACCTCTATGTTTTGGTTTCAAATTCTTTTTCTTTCTCCTTTCCAAACTCAGAAGGCAACAAGAAAAAATATATTAAGTACTTCTCTACACTGGAATGCGGGAGTGTCATAATTCATAACTGATCTCTCTTTGGTTTTCTGTTTTCTGCACTAGGAGGGCCATAATGCTGAGACAGGGAAGGATTTAAGCAAGACATGTTTTCTGATCTCACGATTGACTACCAGAAGGTTTTCAGGAGAATATCTACAATTAGACAAGAAAGTTGGTGAAAGTTGAGAAAGACTTGGAAATTAATGAGGTCTGAGAAAGTGTAAGGAGAAGAGTGATATGCTGGGCTGGCTTGCAACAGGAAGTGCACATGCATCAAGTGCAGAGCTGCTTCACAGACTCCAGGAAAGCTGGGAAAGGCTACTCTCCAGACAGCAGACATGCCACTAGCAAGGAGAGGTTCTGCACAGAAGTCCAGAAACCCAGAGCACACTTACAGCTGTTGACGTGCCATACCTCCTTACATACTTCTAATATTTATAGCAGATATGCAAGATCAAATTTTCCTGCACTTCCTGGTTTCTTGATACTGTCACATGCATATTTTTTGCCCATTACTTTTGTTAATACAACTCTAAAACAAAGAAACTAATGAAAATCATAAAAATTATCCTACTTCAGAAGGACATAGACCTAGGAAAAAACAGAAAGATGAGTTGAGGATAGCTCAGACTGCAGTGACATACCTACATGCACAGCTGATGCACTGTGTATATTGCCTGCCCTCTTCTGAAACATGCTTTTGATTTAACTTGTACAGGTGTGAAAATGAGACTATGACACAGAAGCAAAGGAGAGATCTTACTTCTTTACCTTGCACTGTTAAATGCACTACTGTATCCAGAACCATAAGTCATATCTCAAAAAGATGTTAAAATATTAGAATTAGAAAAGAAGTGATAAAAAGTGACTAAGGCTCTAGAAAGCATGTTTACAACGTGAAGTTTATGGAGTTCAACCTATACAGACAATGAAGAAAATGGAGAAAGGATCTGATGAATCTGTCTGGTATTGCAACAGCTGAATTGACTGGGGATCCTTCCTGCTGAGTGACTCACACTGGGGAACCCAGAATTGGACACAGTACTAGAGGTGTGGCCTCATCAGTGCTGAGTAGGGGGGGGAAATCATGTTCCTTGACCTGATGGCAACACTCCTCCTGATGCAGTCCAGGATACCATTAGTACTCTTTGTCACTTACATTCAGTGCAGTGTCCACCAGGACCCCCAGGTCTATTCCTGCAAAGCTGCTTTCTAGCTTGACAGCTCCCAGCATGTGCTGATGCGTGGAAAGGGGACAGAGAAGCTGAGTTAAGAGTCAGAGTAATCAGGTTTCTTGAATGTATATGAAAGATCCAGTATATACATACATGTATGCCTACATGTTCGTACTGTGGAATAGAAAGGGACTGATTTAACAAAATATTAGAGGGTAAACAAATTATGATATCTAGTAAGAGATTCTATGTGGAAAGAAAAGCCAAGACAAACCCAAGGAGAGAAGATGCTCAGTATCATATTCCTTATCGCTAGATAGCTTTTTAAAAGAATTATCAGTGGCCACAGCTTCTATTACTCAAGTTGCCAATGGCAACAGAGCATATTGTGAGCGAGGTGGAAACCAAGCTTTTCCTAACAGATCAGGCACCCAGACACAGAGGACTTTAAAACTCTGAGATCTTCTTTCTTCAGAGATTTTTCTTTCTATGCCTGGGATACCGTGCAAGATCCACTGTCCAACCACTGTTTGGAGAGTGTCTCAGCTGAGGTTTGATGAGATTGGATGGGCTGAAACTGGCAGAATTGTGCTGATGGATAACAACAGATCATATGGCCAGTCATCTTTGTCCAGCTGTATTAGAAAAGATAATTTAAAATAAAAAAAAACCTCAGTAACAACTAATTTCTTCTTCAGCTTTAGTTAAAGTACAGTTAGAGCTTATACTTAAAAGGCAAAGCTATTGCTTAACGACTTTAAAATCATGGGTAAACAGGCTAGAAGTGTGCAGGAGTGAAAGCTGGTTTGCAGACCTAAGCTTTTACAGAAATT